AAGTAGAACTGGGGATCCCTAAAAATGCATTTTCAGTTGAAGTTCTTATTTTATGTAGGCAGATTTAAAAAGAAAAAAAAAATCTGAAATGAAACAACTAAAATTACCATACTGGAAGGAAGTGACTTCTCTGATCAGTGTCAGAAATTCTTACTAAAACACTGAAAGATGTTAGTGTCTACCTTTTCTGTTCTTGGAAATATGTATATTATTTGTTATTTATCAGCCTTTCTCTGCTACCCATACTAAATCCAAGCTGTAAAATCCAGATGACCACTAGATAGCAACATAGACTTTTATATCTCTTTGCTGTCATCTAGCGGTGGGGAACCCATATATTGTATGCTCTGATGGCCTACTAATATTATTGTGAAAAGACTAAATAACCTTTTCCAGACAATGTTTTATTGTAATGCAGTAATAGTTCTTGGGAAACATAGTAAGTATGAAAACAGCACAACAATTTCGGAAAATTCATTTATAAATATTATTGCAAATACAGAGATTACAGTAGAAGTACTGTAACTGTGCAATTATAAAAAGGAAGGATACTTCCAGAGTGAGGTGTTTTAATGAAATTAATAAAGTCCATAATTACAGCTTTCTTTGGAAGAAACCAAATAGCAAGGTACTTTTGCAAAGATGTCCATTAATATACAATTGGGCACTGGGATCTTTGCTTGCTAATATTTTTAGTTTGAAACACTTAGACTTAAACTTATGTAGAAATTTACTTTTTTCTTATAGACAAATCTGATACAGTAAAAGCAGTAAAAGAGTGACACTGATATCCATGCTTAAATACTGGAATCTAAACTTACTTGACAATTAATGTTACATGTATTTTTTTCAAAGAAAGTATGTGTAGAGAAACCAGAATAATAACTGTATAAAATCTATTAATGTGCCACAGATAATAATAGAGTGCTTTTGCTGGAACTTTGAGCAGTAAATATGGGAAGTGGTTTTCTGGAAGGTATTGTAGGTCGCTAACAGTTGACACTGACCTGATGGCACATAATCAATCAATTATAGAACTGATTCTATACTGTAATTACTGTGCTTATGAAGCTTCATTAGCTGTTCTTATGTAGACAATCTGGGAAAGTTTTATAAATTTGAGTTGTTCTGCCTAGGGAAATACAGAATGTTTTGTGCACAAACTGTTCTGTGCATGGAATACCTGATTTCAGATGGTCTATGCCTGAATCCAAGTAATAATGTTTCAGGTGGTTTGATCCATGAGTGGAATGGAATGGGACATTTTGTTCTGGGAAGAAATAGTTTGGAGATTTTAAGGATAAAGCAAAGACATTGGCCACTAACAAAAGGCAGAGGAGCAAGAGAGGGTGTTAGGATGATAGGGAAGCGGTTAGTCCAGTGGGATTTGTCACTGCAGCTTCTAAGATAAGGGGAGAGAAAGGGCAATGCATAACAATCTTATCCTGTTTACCCTGTCTGGATTTTGTTTCATCTAAAACCTGAAATAACCAATGTCTTTTGGATTTTGATTCTGCCAAACCATTGGTAGTTTGAAATAGTTTGGTAGAACTTCCAGAAGTCAATATTTTTGTCTCAGGTTAGTAATAGAACATATTTCTTTGATGGATATCCCTAGTTTTATCAGTTTCTGTGAAAGAAAGGAAATTAGATTTTTCAGTTCTACTTAGTGTCTATTCCTAATTTATCTACACAGTACTTTGTCTATTTATTTTGTTTTGTACATGTATATTTTATGCATTTATGCATAATACTATAGCTAACCTTCCTGCAACTGACAGAAGTCAATTTGTCACTTTGTATGGAAAATTTCAAGTGATCAATCAGATGGCATTAGAAGTTATTAACAAGGATCCTATCTTCTTCAGAAATACCATTGTATTCAAGCTTCAAGAATCTGTTTCTTTCAGCCACAATAGTGACAAATTACAAAACTTTCATTATAACAATGATTCACAAGCCAAAAAAAAAAAAGGGGGGGGCAGTTAGTAAGTCAGAAAGGAAGAAGCAGAAAACAGTACTAACTGGCTGGTTCACAGGAACCAGGAGAAAATAAACAGAATGTGAAGTGGGAGTAGCTAGAAAGTGAATGTTCTAGGGATGCAAAAATCTTGGGTCATTCAGAACCAAAGAAGAGGGAAAATACATGATGGGGAGGGGGAGCAGAGACAGAGATTAAGAAAAAATAGGATTCTTAATTCTTCTATGAATGAATGAATGAATGAATGAATGAATGAATGAATGAATGAATATATGACATAGAAGTTCTGGACTGCATATTGATTATTTTGTTTTTTACATAGTTTCATTCTTATCCTTGAATGTGAGATCTGTATGAAAGTACCGGTAGTCCTCACTTAATGACTGTCCTTTTTAGTGACCATTCAAAGTTATGATGGCACTGAAAAAGTAACTTTATGACTGATCCTCACACTTACAACTGTCACAGCATCCCTGCAGTCACGTGATTGAAATTTGGGCACTTTGCAACCAGTGAGTGTTTATGACCATTGCAGCATCTCGCGGTCACATGATTACCATTTTCACGCTTTACAACCAGCTTCCAACAAGCAGAGTCAATGGAGAAGCCAGCCGTAAAATCATAAGTCATGGTCACATGATGTTTCACTTATGATTGCAGCAGAAGTGAGTTTGTAAGTCCATCATGGTCCCATGAATTCTCACTTAATGGTTGCTTTGCTTAACAATGGACTTGCTGATCCCAGTTGTGGTTGTGAAGTGAGGACTACCCTTAATAGAATTGTCTTGAGTAGATCACTTGCATAGTAAATGCTTTCAATCTATAAAGTTGGTGATACACACACACACACACACACACACACACACACACATTTAAACTATTGTAATGGTTATGCTTTTAATGATATAGTATGTTAATGACTAGATTAATTGCAGTTGGGCTGATCAATTCTAAAAGTGTCTTTTGTTATAGCTTTATCCTTAAATTGCCAGGGCATGATATATAGACAATAGTTCTTGTGGAAGTAGATTTCTAACTATACATAGTGGCTGTATTCAAATGTATAGTACATTTTCTGTGGACAATGTCCTATACTGACTCTGTATCTAGACATACTGGTTACATTGTGAATGGCTTGTAATTTATCTAGCTTTTTAAAAAATAATTTTCCTAGCCTATGTATTTGATATGGTTTATTTTTTCTTAAGACTGTATTCTCTTCAGTGTTTGATTAATATATTTATTAAATATAAAAATAATAGAAGTACTATAGTATTGTAAATCAGTAATTATTTTGTAGCCATAGAACCATGCTTCTATTTAATTCTTCATTTGAATTAAGAAATCACTTACATTATTAGGTCTGAGTTTTGGATTCAACTGAAGCCCAAAGTATCTAAAGAGAAATTATTAGTATTTCCATTTAGTATTTAGCCCATTAGGTTAGAAAAGAAAGACAAAAATGTTAAATTCAATAATTATTCTGACTAACCTTATATCAGAATAAGGATCATTGCTATCAAAGCCACCTTTTAATTCAGTCACAGCATAAAAGATGAAGGATAGAGCTTAGGTATTGCAATGATCTATGATTTTTTCTGTTAACTCCATTTAGTCTCATTTAGACATATGGTAGACTTGCTGAATTAATTCTTTGATTTTTAGAAAATATCACAAATTAATCCCTAATACCTCTGTCTTACATACATTTAGCTCTACCATATCGATAGAAACATCTTTTTTCATTATCATATTGATAGAAACATCTCTTTCAATACATTACAATCTTTTCTGGGAATTATCTATTATATGTATGACTATAAAAACTGGGTGGATAATTTTATTGAATATCTTCAGATGAAGAAATGTTCTTGAATATTCTAACAGATCCAGATTTACCTTCATAATCATAGTAACTCCATTACCCATTACAGTTTAAAGACTGAATGATAAAATTATTATACATCTATACTGCAAATCTATTTTTTAAAAACAACAAAGTATTTATTTATTTGTTTATTTGTTCATTTCCTTGGAACCAGTTTTGTGTAGTGGTTAAAGTGCTGTACTAGAAATGGGCAGACCATGAGCTCTAACATTCCCTTAGGCATGAAAGCCAGCTGGGTGACCTTGGACAGTTTCCCTTCTCTCATTCTCTCTCCCCCTTCATTTCCTTCTCTATTTCAATGCAGAACTGTAGTCATTTTTAAAGATATTGTTATCATTATAATAATGAAATGCAAAGGGAAAAAAAGTTCTACACTGGATAGTAGCAATTTAATAACACGAAAAAGGAGCAACTTCTAAGCATGAATAAAACATAAATGAAAACATTATTGAAAAACTTTCTAGTAACACGTTCTCCTCACAGCCCCCTATTGGTTTATTTCTGTAACCACTGATCACCTCCTAGACATATATGCCTTGAATGCAGAATTGTTGCTTATGTTTTATATGTGATTTTTTCAAGATTATCTTCAACATACTGGACATTATTTTTGAATACCAAGAATTCTATGATATATTTTTTTGATTTCCAAATATGTTTGTGATACACAATATATAATATGAAAAGTGTTCTAAACTAAAATATTCTTTTTAATTCCTATAATAAAACTGTATTTAAATAATTAAATGTTTTCACTACTTCATGTAGAGCATGTTGGTATATGGCATATGTATTTGTGATACATAGCATGAATACATACAAACGTCACACATCAAAATCAATTCCACCAAAATTGTCATAAGCATAATAGGCAACAAGGGGGATATTCTACAAATGTTCTGGTTGATAAAGGATTGAATACTCTGGTAAATAATTCTAAGTCCTATGGGCAATTTTTTTTTCCTCTTGTCCACAGGACTTTCTTTTTACCAACAGTTATTTTAATTTCTGCATTATGATATGAATTACAAGGCATTTATAAATAGGTATCATGAAGTCATATGTAAACAATTATAATTGTGAATTCTAAAAAAAAAAAAAAAAAAATAAAAACTTTTTTTCTACAAATAGAGTCCAGATGGTCGAATAGAAGTCAAAGGACAACATGGAAGATCATCACTACAAATTAAAGATGTGAAATTGACAGATTCAGGAAGATATGACTGTGAAGCTGCAAGTAGAATTGGTGGGCATCAAAAGAGCATGTACCTCGATATTGAATGTAAGTTAGATTTTTTTTTCTCTAAATATACTGGTAAGAAAGGACATTACAATTCTGTTGTATTTACACACTTGTGGAATCAAACGCAGGACCCAAAACAAATAATCAAGGCTAACTGCAGTATGTATTAAACAGTACATACTGGAGGGGGCCCAACCAAAAGGACAGTGAAAGACACCCCTGCAAACAAAGGGATGCACTGATATTTATACATTTCAGAAAAAAGGAAATGATGTAACTATACATATTCATGTGATGATGCAGGCATACATATTCATAAGTAATAGGTCTCAAGTTACTTCCTGCCCTTCTGCTATCTACTATCTACAAAGAAAACAATAGTCTTACTGAGAAGAAACAAATCAAAGGGAGGAGGCAATTCAGGATTCCAAATGCCAGGAAGAACACATCCTCCTTCAAGACAGATGCCTCAGTTGCTATGGGAATGTTCAGATAAGATTAACAAGCTGGTGTGACCTAGATGTTAAACTAGTTTCAAGGCTGTTTGCAAATTCCTTTATGTTTCAATTTAACGCAACCGGCAGTATGCATCTAAAAAAATTATTTTCCTCACACATTTAAACAAATGTGACCAGAAGCTGCAATTCAGTCACCAAAAGCTTTAGAGGCAAATGGGAGATCTTTCTAATTCTAAAATAAAAATCTTTTTTTCAGGCAGATTTTGGGCTTAAAACAAATGAACAAACAAAGGGCTATAAGAGTAAAATTGGATATTTTTTATTTTTTTAAAAAAAAAAAAAAAAAAAAGTTGTGCCACTAAAATCTAGCCTTTTTGCTGCTAAAATTCAGTGCCATTATATGTATCAGGCTGTGAATGGAAGGAAAGCAGCATACAGATGGTGAACCATAGAGCGCATATCCCTGAATTTAAATAAATCTCCTTATTAATTAGCATATGAAGGTATATAGTAAAGTGTTGATGGTATAGCATTATAATGTGTTACTTTAAAAAAATATATATTTACTTTAAAGCAGTGTTGTCCAAACCTGGGCACTTTAAGATGAGTGAACGTCAACTCCCAGAATTCCCCAGCCAGCATGGCTGGCAGGG